TCTCTCTCTCTCTCTCTCTCTCTCTCTCTCTCTCTCTCTCTCTCTCTCTCTCTCTCTCTCTCTCTCTCTCTCTCTCTCTCTCTCTCTCTCTCTCTCTCTCTCTCTCTCTCTCTCTCTCTCTCTCTCTCTCTCTCTCTCTCTCTCTCGCTCGCTCTCTCTCGCTCTCGCTCTCTCTCTCTCTCTCTCTCTCTCTCTCTCGCTCTCTCTCTCTCCCCCTATCTATCTCCCCCTCTCTGCGGCACTATATAACACCCAGTACTCACTCGTCATGTCTCTTGGCTTCACTTCCACCTCGAACTCGGCGTTGATGACGACCCCTAGCGGCTGCTGTCGCTCGGTGGCGCCACCTGCCGTGCGCATGCGTCGTCGGCCGCCGGCCGTCCTTCGCTGCTGGTCGCAGTCGAGGCGCACGTAGTTTAGCTGACACAGGTCGGTGCAGGCGTGGCCCCGCTGCTCTGTATCGGCAAGTGCTGCTCTCTAACTAACTAACTAACTAATTAACTAACTAACTAACTAACTAACTCTCTAACGAACTCTCTAACTAACTCTAACTAATGCATCTCTACTCCCCATCGCTCACTGCTATATCCCGCCGCGTATATTACATGGGTAGACACAACCTCTGACCACCTCGGCTTGTAGGGCGACTATACCGTTGCATGCCCAATTAGCTCGTTTTGCTATAGAGTTCGCTCTACCCTTATAGCATTATTAGTATAGCTCTAGTTACTGTTTAGCGTTCACTGCCTTACTAGAGTAGCTTTTCTACTGCACAGAGCTCGCTGTACTATCATGATAGGTGGCAGTAAAGTCTTTACAGAATCCCGTTTGTTAGTGCCAAACGTTTAACGTCCGCTGCTATATACTGAGCATGCATACACAGACACGCGTGCAGAGAGAGAAACGCATGACTAATTATATATAAAACTGCGTCACAGCAGCGAGTGTGGGTAGGAGACGGTGGAGTGTATATAAATATATTTATGCCTCACGGCCCTTTTATCCCGATGAATTCTGGAGCGGTGTGCCTTTGCCGCCACAGCCGCACAGAGAGAATCCCGCTTTCCTCTCCTCTCCTTTTATCTCGCCACCATCGGATCTCAATAATTGCGGTGATTCACTTTAATTAAATTATCGTTCTGAACAGACGCCTCCGCAGACTGAGGCAGAAAATATCTAGGCGAAAGAATTGGCGGCCAGTTTTGTTATCTCGTTATCTTCCCGTATGATCCCACTTATTTTTCCTCTTTCTACCCCTTAATCCCACTCATTTTTTACTCTCCCCTCGCTGGATCACATTAATATTTTCCGGCCCCTCCCTGGATCCCACTCATCTTTTCCTGTCCCCTCCCTAACTTCCACACATTTTTTCCTGTCCCCTCCCTGGCTTCCACACATCTTTCCCTCTCCTATCCCTGGACCCCACTCCGGGAAAGCTGACCTTGAAGAGTCCTTCGCAGCGCGCTCTCGAAGTTGTGTTGCGTCGTCGCCTGTAGGTGACACTCGGCTGCGGCGAATCGGAATCGGGCCCGGCGCACGAAGCTTGGCAGCGAGGCGCCCTCTGAAAAAGTAGTGCCAGTCGTGAGTTGAGACCGGCACACTCCCGCTACAAAGAGAAGAGAGAGAGTGCGAGCGTCAGCTCCGTCTGGCGGTCGCCGGCTACACTATCGACTGATCAGAAGACGCGGTTACCATGACGACGGCGCATGCGCATACCGGAGCAGTCCGGAAGCGGTTCGTCGCCGTGGCTCCACCGGAAGTCGGTCGACTGTCCGCAGCGGAAGCTGAACGAGTGCTTCGGTCGGGAGGAGAACACCGCCCCCTGCTGGCACTCAAGCAGACACACCTCGTCCTCGCCCTCGCTGTGGCACTTCAGTACGGCCTTGGCCGGGGTGCGCAGCGGCAAGCATTCGTCGAGCTCTGCAAGTATCCAGTGCTTAGTACATAGAACGACCGCGAGATCGGCTGAATGATTGAAGAAAGGTTGAAGGTTCTAGGTTCGCCACAGAAGAAAACCAATAAGTACAATCAGTGTTCACAAGTTTTAGCGTGGCAGCACCGTCCACCTTTATGTGGCTACATTCAAGCATGGCTTCAGATGACCTCAAGTGACCTCGATGTTTAACAAAATATATCCTACGTCCTAACCAGAGACCACGCGCACGTCCATGTGAAAACATCAAGACCTCTGAGTCTCTACGTCTGGATTCACGGACATGAACACGCGCGCGTACGAGCGTGCATTCTTATTTATGTATATTATAGATATATATATACTGTATCATATATATGTAACATAACTATTATAGATCATGAGCACAATAGTTATATTGGAGAATATGCGATGTTGTGAAAATGACATTTCAGTGCCGTATTGACCTAACGTTTGAAAGCGGAAGTAAGCGACCTAGACATGGGGAATCAGACCCACCCTTCTCCACCTACATATATAGTACTATACTATAGGCACCGCCTACTCTCTCTAACAGCGAGCTGATTAGGCGGTCAATCAGAATTACAATCGGCGGTGGCTTAATTACCGATGCAGTCCTTGCCGTTCTCGTGCAGTAGGAAGCCGTCACGACACGAACACGTGTAGGAGCCGACAGCGTTGTCGCAGTAGTGCTGGCAGCCGCCATTATTCACTCGACACTCGTCGATCTCTGTAAATAAAAAAATGCAGCAAACAATGCGTTCGAAATTACGTGTGTCCGTTTATTTATGCGATATTAAGAGAAAGTTAATGAAGGATGAAAGATTATATATCGATAATGATAGCAATTATCTCATAATAACAACGGCTAATAAGACGTCGTGTATTATTAGCTCTTGATAATGTATAGCTCATAATCCTACTGCTGATATCACATGGAGGACTCCTGCTGATATTTAGAACATTTACCTAAAAATAAATTCGATTTTTTAATGAAAAAATAGCGTGATATCTTCATTATGAGTCATCGGTTCGGCGTAACGTTATCAATAACCCTGAACGAAGTAATGCATGCCGATACGACACAGGTCTGTTAGTATGCCATGAAAGGGCTCTCGCTCTCTCTCTCTCTCTCTCTCTCTCTCTCTCTCTCTCTCTCTCTCTCTCTCTCTCTCTCTCTCTCTCTCTCTCTCTCTCTCTCTCTCTCTCTCCCGCCCCACGCTCTCTCTCTCTCTCTCTCTCTCTCTCTCTCTCTCTCTCTCTTTCTCGCTCTCTCTCTCGCTCTCTCTCTCTCTCTCTCTCTCTCGCTCTTTCTCTCTTTCTCTCTTTCTTTCTCTTTCATTAGTTAAATTTTATTTGCTATATTACTGAAGTGAGAAGAGAATAGTGAAGAGGCAGAGTCTATTCAAGTCTAGATTCATACTTACCCCCGCAGTGGGAGAATGCGTATTGTATGTAGCCCGTCTTACACTCGCAGAAGTAGCTTCCCGGCACGTTGTGGCAGATGTGGTCGCATGATGCGTTATACTCACACTCGTTCACATCTATAATAATATAATCTCATGTATGACAAAAATTTATGTTAATTATTTATTTATTTATTTATATATTTTGTATTATGTTTATTGTGCATGTGTGTACGCGCGCACGTGCGTGTGTTTGTACGTGTGTGTAAGTGTGTACGTGCATGCGTGTTTGTGCGTACGCGTGCGTTTGTGCGTGCGTGTGTTTGCATGTTTGCGTGTGTGCGTGCGTGCGTGCGTGCTTGCGTGCGTGCGTGCGTGCGTGCGTGCGTGCGTGCGTGCGTGCGTGCGAGCATGTGCGTGTATGTAACCTGTAAGTTATAGATACAGGATCTGTCAGGATATAAATCTCCTAAATGTAATCCTAACAAATCGTGTCGATAATATTACAAAATCAAATGTGTGTAACGTTTAATTATAGAATGAAATGCGTATATCCTTTCACAAATGCTTGCTATTTGTCAATCTGGTAAGCTCGGCACTCTCTTTGTCAACCGGATGTGATGTCACATCGGACTGGATGCATGATGAACGTCGCCATACCGATGCAGCTGTGCGGGTTACTCGGATCCATCTTGAAACCTTTGGGACAGATGCATTCGTAGCTGCCCATCAGGTTTCGGCACTTGTGATCGCATCCTCCATTTTTTCCATTCTCTCTCACCTTACACTCGTCTATGTCTGCAAGATTTTCGTCACGTTATATATTAAGCGAAATATTTTTCTTAATATTTAACATTAATAAATTAATTAATTATGGAATTTAATTAAAGATAAGATATTAAGATTATTATGATTTCTAATAATAATAATAATAATAATAATAATAATAATAATAATAATAATAATAATAATGTGATAATAATAATAAAGATGCTACTCGTTAATGCATACCGAGACAAGTCTTGCCGTCAGAGTGCAGCACGTAACCGGAAGAGCAGCTGCATCGGGGGCCGTTCTCTGTGTCGGTGCATGTGCGATCGCAGCCGCCATTGTTGATCCCACACGTGGCTGTTTCGCAGGGAAGAAAAAACAAAATTGTAATTATCACTCAACGACAAGTAAAAACCAATATCTAACGGGTTACGTCCGTACAGCGTGTATAGTAACGTCGATGTATTTATCACAAGATGGGAGAGAGCAAGCGAGAAAGAAAGGGAGGGTGAGTGGAAGACAGAGCGCGCGCAAGAAAGAGGAAGCGAGAAGGGGAAACAGAGCAAGCGAGAGAGAAAAAGCGAGGAGACGAGTAGAGGAAAGAGTGCGCGCGCAATGAGATAGAGGGAGATAGAGAGAGGAACAGAGCAGAATAATCCCTGCAATACAATGGCCTTCTAACTGACAACACTCACGTATGCAGCTCATGTTGTCGATCGCCAGCGTGTACTTTGGTCGGCAGCTGCACTTCGGCCCGCTGCCGACGTAGTCGTCGCACACGTGCTGGCAGCCGCCATTGCCGACGGCGCACGTGCGCACGCAGCGTCGGCCGCCATTGACGCTGCGGTAACCAGGGCGACAGCCGCAGCGAGGCCCTCTGTTGGTGACCTCGCAGAAGTGATCGCAGCCGTACTTTGCCGTGCAGGACTTGCTCACTGGAAAATGCAACCGCAACAACGCGTAAGCACACGTGTTTATGTAAAACATGGTGCGGCGACGTGGCAGTGTGTGTGTGTGGGGTGCTTACCGTTATAGGCGACCCAGGGTATGTGGAAGCCGGGCGCCGTGTTGTTCGCATCGGACTTGAACTGCACCCACAGCTTGCGCGATCGCGACGTGAAGGCGACGGCTCGTGAGTTCGACTCACACGTCTCGTACGTCGTCACCGAGTTCGGCGAAGCTGTCGGTGTAGCAGACCAGTGCACTAATTAGTACCGCATTAATTATAGTACTGAAGAAAAAAATTGCCACACAAATTTATAGTGAAATAATTAGTGCCACACTAGTGAAACTGCACTATTTAGTGCCACTCTAATTACTGTTGCACTAATTAGTGCCACACTGTAAGTAATATACTTATCAGGGCTGCACTAACTGATAGTCAACTACAGTAGGGGGCCTAGTTAGTATTTACTTTGTTAGGATTGACATGATTAACAGTAGGTTTCCTCATGTCGAGCATCAGAGCCTTATATAGAGATGCTCTGATGAGCATGTCTCTACAGCGCCCTCTATATGTCTCCACAGCGCCCTCTATACACCTACCTCGCTTCCTCATGACGAGCATGTCTCCGCAGCGGTCGGCAGCGAACTGGATGTCAGGCACGACGATGAGAATACGGCGCCCCTTCTCCGGTGCCACCTGCCACGTGCACTCGGTGTTGCTCGGGTAGTTGCCCGGGTAGTTGGGAGACTCAAAGAAGCCGAGGTGCACGTTGATGCGGCCCTCACGGCAGGCGCGGTCTGAAATGCCGCCATCAGTTACCGCACGCGACCAAGCAACGTGATGGCATACGTCAATCACCAAGCGTAACCAAGCAACGTCACGTCTGCCAGTTAATCACCGCGCGTAACCAAGCAACGACACGTATGCCAGTCAATCACCGCGCGTAACCAAGCAACGACACGTATGCCAGTCAATCACCACACGTAACCAAGCAACGTCACGTATGCCAGTCATATTACTATATTACATTTCGTTTTATATCACACACACGCAGCACACGCCACACCACACACGCACACACGCACACACACACACACACACACGACATCACACAACACCACACACATACACGCACACAGCGCACACAATTCCCCCCCCCCACACACACACACTGCATCGTCGGGCCGCACCATGTTTTACAATAAACACGTGTGCTACGCCGTGTTGCGGTTGCATTTTCCATGTGAGAAAAGTCCTGCACGGCAAAGTTACGGTGCGATAACTTCCTGCAGTCACCAACAGAGGGCCTCGCTGCGCTGGTCGCCCTGGCTTACCGCATCTTC